CGGTGCGGGCCAAGCGGACTCGCCGCGCCCCGGGTTTGTCCGTCTGCGGCCGCGTCCCAGGGCCCCACTCGCGCTCCAGGGACCGCGCCTCGCCCAGCAGGGGGTGGGGCGCTTCTCACGCGTGTCTCCCGGGGGCCGTCGTTTCAGCGCCGGCCTCTCCGCGCCGCCTCGGCCCTGCTCCTTCCATAGGCTCTGCACCAGTTGTCGCGCCTCGGTCACCTCTCTGACGCACATCTGGCCTCTGAAGCTGCTCTGCAGCGAAGCTTTTCCTCTTGTCTTACGAAGTGAAACCGCCTTCTTGGACTAAAGGGCCTTCATTAGCTGCTACTTAGCCATGTTTTCATTCATCGAACTCTGCTAGACACTGAACATAAAGGAAAAGACCTGGTGCGTGTTTTCTGAAAGCTCAGCCTCGGGGGACATGGCGAGAGGCACACCCGACGGGCATAAGGACATTCTGGGAATGTGCGCAAGTCACCCGACGGGCATAAGGACATTCTGGGAATGTGCGCAAGTCACCGCGGGTGGCCTTGGAGCTGCAGCCGGCGGTGCTCAGAGCAGGCGCAGCCGTCCAGGGCGGCTCTGCTGGTTTAGGGGACATGGTCCCGGAGTGAAAGACCGGCAGCCTGCGCCGGCTCCTCTTGCCTCCTGGGCAGCAGATTCTCCCAAAGGCCCTGTCCCCCACCCTCCTCACTGCAGGGCCTTTGGATGAGAAATGTCCTGTGTGGATTTGGAAACAGATGCTAGAAGATAAACTTAAAAACAGGCTGAGACAGTGTTGATTAGGGAATGATTTGAGAAGCGCCCTCACCCCTTGTAGTCCTCCCAGCGAAGGGTATTTAGACGGGTGCAGGTGGAGACAGAAAGGGGGGGGTGAACTAACCGATGGAAAGGGAACTAATGTTTCTGTTCTTTCTGGTAATTACAACTAATTCCCCCCCCACACACACATATAGTGGTTCCCAAATAGTTCCATCACAACTTTTTCTTTATAGTTTCTAATTAAGTTTTAAAAATATTACATGGTAGTTTTTTTTAATCAGAAAAAGGCACACATATGAAAAGGCAACAATCTCTTTTCTATCTCAAGTCCCTGAAGCTACGGCGACTCCAGAACCCCCACCTCTCAGTGTTTGGCTGTGGTGACCACAGGGCTGCAGCAAGCAGCTCCATACATCTATCTTACACACAAAAGTGGTATCACTCGTTCAGAACTGTGCGTATTTTACATTTTAATACCCATGTCCAGGTGATTTTCTCTAATTTGTAGCAACACACCCTCAAATGACCAAGTCTGACGATGACTTGCTGCCTTTCAAACTTTGTGTAAGCTAATGGGTGAAACAGCAGGTTACAATTTCCCCTTAATTCACATTCACTATTAATTCTTAAAGTTTACCTTTTAGCTTAAGATAGAATTTTTATCATATATATATTTAATAGAAGAAATATAATTTCATAGAGAATTTTTTTCTTGAAACTATCATTGGTCTATGCCCCAGACTGTCATCTCAAAATAGTATCTCTTTCAGACTATTTCCAGCCATTCCTAGATTAAATTCTACTCTGTGGTGCCAGATTTTAAGTAACTTGAGAACTACTCCTCACCACTGCCCTCCAACCCTTTGGTTCTGTAATTACAGTAGGATCTTAAGTGGGTGGGAATCCTTTCATTTCTAGGATTCTTGAAGAACTACAAATGCTTTTCATAGCGAGAAAGATGTTCCCATGAGACTGGAGTTTCTAAAAATAGCACTGCAAGCAAAGCATTTTATGACTTGCTTCGTAGGCTTCATTATCCAATGTTCAGGTGAATGGGTTCATGATCCAATATTGCATTAAAGTAGAAGCAATTTATTTGCAGGAAAAAAAAAATCTCTGAGGCAATGAAACTGCATTTTCCATTTCGGGTCCCGAGGTAGGAGGCCTGCACTCACACTCAGGTCGCTGAGTTCCATTCACCAGGCAGAGTGGGAGACAGCCCCCCGGGTTCCGAGTGCTCACTGAGCCTCCGTTCAGAAAGGACAGCCGCCAGCAGTCCTCTGCTGCGGGGCCAGTTGCCTGGGGAGCGTAATGAAGGCTCCTTAACAGATGAATGAAGCCTCGGGGAGGGGTTCATGGTACCTACCTGTGTGGCCTCGTCAGCATCATCTTGCCGTTTGGTGTAATTTTCATGAGCTGTGGAGGACTTGGGAAGATTTAGTCAGAGTCCACTCTGGGCTGGGTAAGCAGCAACAGGGAAGGGTTGTATTTCATTCTGGGTGCCCCACGTCTTAGAACTGACCACATGCAGCCCATGAAGGGGACGGTAGAAGGTCTCAGAAACAGATACGTGGCAAACCATGGAATGAAATAGAGATGTTTGCCTTGGAGAAGCAGCTGCCTGCAAGGCCTGTGTGTAGAAGGTGGGCAGGTGTCATCAGAAAGCCCAGAGGTGGCGTCTGGTGCAGTTAAAACCACCTCACAGACCCGAGCTTGTCCACACAGATGGGCTGTATGGGGATACGATGGTCCCCAAAGAACACCCATTCGCTGGCTCCCAAGCATGTACTGAGCACAGGGCATGTCATTCAGGGGCCACGTGGTGACGAGGCAGAGCCTCCGGCCGGCGCAGGCTCAGCAGGAGGCCACCCGGAGGGAGGGCGGAGCCCCGGCCCTGACGAGGGGCATCTCACTTTGCAACTTCTGGGATCCTCCCCAGCCTTTTGGTGGTGTGATTCTGCTTGGTCTGGTGTTTTTGTTACAAGTATGTGTATGCATTTGCAAAATGGATATCCAGTGAGGCGTGTGGACTGTGGTTGGAGCAAAAATGATGACAGGCCAGCTCAGGAGAATCTGAAGCCCTCGGCCTCATTAAGCCCATGAGCTCACCTCCTGAGTTACAGACACGAGTAAACATGGTTACAAATATTTCCCTTTACATTAACCACTTCACTTTTTTAAGACATAGAGCCCTCTGCTCATGGAGAGAAAGGGGTATGAAAGTAAACGCCTTTTTCTTTAGATAGATACGGTCATCGGGCTCCTAGAACTGACGGCAGCTTTCATCAGCCCTGGGCTCCTTTTTTCTCTCATGTTACTGTCCCTGATCCCGGGATGATGCATCTTATAACTCGTGTCCTGTAATCGCGTATCTTAAATCAATGGCATTTTAACCCTGATGGAAATGGTTCATTCCCTTAAAAAAATGTCAGTAGTGCCATTTGCATGAAGACTAGAGTTTAACTCTCTCATCCTGGAATCTGAAGGTTTACACGATGTGTTTCCATCCTGTCTCCGACGTGGTTCCCACAGCCCCAGCTCTCCAGCTCGGTGCCCGCGTGCCTGGGCACGTCTTCGCTCATCCTTGGGAAACTTGCCTCGTGGCTCCGTGTTTCCCGGCTGGGGAGCTGCCCACCGTAGCTCTCGCCAGGCTGCGGGCGCCGGGTCTCTCCCTGGAGCTACGGCTTCTGTCTGTCTAGTAACTTTGAGTAGCTTGAGCTTCTTTCTCTGGCCTCTCCGCTGGATTAAGCAGCTATTTATAAAGTAGTTTTATTTGTTTACTTATATTATTGTTTATTCTTCACCTGAGGATATGCTTTTTTTCAATTGATTCTAGAGAGAGAGGAAAGGAGAGGGAGAGAGAGAAACATCGATGGGAGAGAGAAGCGTTGATTGGTTGCCT